TTTGGCAGGGCGGCTTCAATATCTCTCCAAGCTTCGGCAGTCCACACATCATCCATGAACAAAATGAATTTCGATTTCTGCAGGTAGTATCGAACCAAACTCATCAGCTCATTGTCGGTCTTGCTAGACATGTCTTCCTCGGTGAACTTTTTCAAGATGGTGAGGAAGAAATCTCTCTTTTTGAACTCTTCAGGAACGTAAACCCAAATCATAGTCGGGAATTCAAATTGGACTCTTGAATCGTTATAAATCTTCCATGCCAGGGTTGTCTTTCCGAGGCCAGACATGCCGATGATGGAGATAACATCCAATTCCTTTGATTCTTCGTAGAGATACTTGATTAGAGTGTCAGCCTCGTCTTCGAACCCTACTACATTGTCTTCTCTCGGGAGGAAAATCTATGCAAAAATGAAGAATCATAATGTCAGAAACTGAAACTGATAGAGTGAAGAACATTTGCTAATCTTGTAATCCTAAAACAAGGACAACTATAAACAAGGCATTGTTAATTACACAAAAAATTTCTACAATATGAAACTTCACAGAATATTTATTGGTGCTTTTTTAGATAGTAACACTCTCTAACATTATGTGATGAATAATGCTCCAGATCCGGAAATTCTACTTCACTATGAGAAACATATATAGTAGCAAAACAAATCTTAAATTTATGATGAATAAAGAAACAAATTAAATGAAGTGCGTTGGCCAATAAAACATCCTGTAATCAAACCACATGTTAATTCTTGCCAAAACTACACATAATATTATTTCCTTTTACTATATTTCCTTTCTACTCTTCAATATTGTTTATCGATTATGTAAGAGATTAGGGTTTTAAACCTATTTTCATCGTCTGCATTCCACTTGCAATATACAAATCTAAATAAAGATGCACATACTGTATAAGGTCTTGATCTCGCATCATAAAGTATAACAATCAAAATACATATGCTAATTTTTTCAAAAGATGAAAGAAAGAAAACCTATAAGCAAATTCAACTTTTCAAAGTAAAGTCCAAGAAAGAATAACAAAAACTTCTTATTAAAAAGTTCTTTGCAGATAACGAAAAATCAAGAATCTGAATCAAAATGCTACAAATTAAGAAGATTCAATTTCTTACCACTGGAAGACAGAATGGTTGAATTTTAAGGCCTTCATACCCTAGGTTCATTCGTTCCTCTGATATTTCCTCTGCTGATGTCCAAAGGGAGCTCTTGACACGAGGTAAAACTATCACTCTCAGGTTTAGAATTTCCGCAAAATCAATCGGGATCTCCTTGAGGCTCACGTCGCCAAGAACTAGGTGCTCGAGACATGGAAAATGGGTATTGTCTGCCTCCCAGATCTCCAGCTCACACTGATCAATCAACAAAAACTTCAATCGACCAAATTGCCCTTCAATCGGATTCCACTTTTCGCCTTTGGCAGCACCAGACTTCAATTTGAGAACTTCAAGGTTGGGCAACGAACCAACAATGGACATATCTTCCCAAGGAACCTTGCATTCACTTAAGGCCAACTTTTTAAGAGAATCTGGGAAGGCAATGTTGTCAGAGATCCCAGCACTGAATTCTAGAACAAGTGATTCAAGTTTACGAAGACCAGCAAGATTGGTCCAACAAAACGGTCCAATTTCGTCGGTTCTATAATGAACTCCCAACTTCTTCAGATTTGGGATTCGTGTAATTACCTGTTGATTACATTTGAAATCTTGGACAGTTGAAAGTGTCTGTAGGTTTTCAAGAACTAGAGTATTCTGGCTATCGGGAGGATCACAGAGAGAGATTTCTCTCATCTTGATATGTCGAAGTTGCGGCATCTGCCAGATTTCAGCTGGTAGAGATATGTTTATATCAACAACCAAGGTTTGTAAATTCCAAAGCTGGAAGATAAAGGACGAAAGCAGCTTCGAGCTCATGTTGCAATCAACATACCGTAGGTTAAACAGTGGTGAAGTTTCAGCTTCGGCATTTCTATCAACCATACGTAATACACGTACTAACTTAAGCCTGCAAGCAATGTCACTAGTCGAATTTGAAACTGAGTAGACCAAGAAAGACCGAATAAATGCCGCAGATCTAGAGAATGCAGATTTAGAGGTCTCGAATACCTTGTGCTTCCATGGGCCACTGAGAATACTGAGGCGGCGCTCGCTTTGTATATATGGTGAACAGTTGGGATCATCAAGCTTCGGTACGTACAAAAATTTGTCTTTGTGAGCTTCTCTCGTGCACAGGTCCCTCAAAAGATCATGAATGCCACATGCCTTCACTTTTCCACTCAACCCCCTTTTACGAACTAAAACGAGGTTTCTGTCAACAAGATCCTCCAAATACTCCTCTGCAACCTCTTCTAAGCTTTTTAGCTCTAGTTGGTTTAATAAACCCTTCAGAAACCCACAACCTTATGAGCATCGACACTTTGATTTCGAAATCTTCTGGAAAAACAGCTAGGTAAAGGAAACATGACTTGAGACATATAGGCAAATGAGTATAGCTCAATGATAATATCTTCATGAAATACTCGTTGTCTTCATAGTTGACCGCTGAAGTTACACGTTCTGCAACATACTCCCAATGTTCTCTTGTCATTATGGACTTTGCAAGGAGCCTTCCAATCACAACAAGGGCTAGAGGAAGTCCTCTGCATCTCGCGGCGATATATTTCCCAATTTTCTCCAATTCGACGGGGCAAACTTCTTTTGGGAAAACCTTGTTACGGAACAGATCCCAACTTTGTTCCTCATCTAGAAACTGCATCGTATGAGGGCTAGAAGATCCAAAATCTTCAGCCAAGTTCGACAGCCTTGTAGTTACCAAGATCCGACTTCCATTGTCGTTATCGGGAAGGCACGATTTTACCTCATCCCAAGCTTCGATATCCCACATATCATCCATTAATATCAAATACTTCCTCCCAAACAATTCTTTGAACAACAATTCTCCAATATTACCATCACTACTCTCCTTGTCAAACCGCACGCTATTGCTGACCTGGCGCCAAATGTCTAGAAGAATCTCTTTCGTAGTATACTCTTGAGATATTTTAACCCAAGCACGAACGTGGAAGCGTTCCACGATAAAAGGATGATTATAAACATTTGTGGCAAGAGTAGTCTTACCAATACCCCCCATCCCAACAATAGGGACGATCAGACGATTTGATTGGTCTCGACAGAGCATACACATTACTTCATTCACCTGTTCGTCGAATCCTACCATGGTACTCTTGCCACTCGGAAGAAGTTTCGACGATGACGACGATGGAGCAAATGATACAGTAGCTTCTGCAGCGGAGAACTTATGTTGCAGATGATCTTCCGAGGATTTCGTGTATTTGATCTTCACCAACTCATTCTCGATGGAATCGAATTTCTCGAGTAACGTTCGCACACTTTGAAACAAAAAAGTGCCCTTTTTGCGCTTGATCCGAGTAGATCTTGCAATCATTTGGTCAATCACGTTGGATTCAATGGCATCCTCTGCTTCGTAAGCTGCGTATGCGATCTGAGTCTCCAAATCTTCAATTTCATTGCCGGAGTAGTTCTCGAGAAAATCTGTAATGAAGCGCACCTTTTCAAGCAGAGACTCGATTTGTGCTCCGACGACGATGATTGTCTTCTGAGCAGGAGGTGGGTGAAGGATTTGGTTGAGAATTTGTGAAAGAGAAAGTAGAGCTGCGTAAGCAGCAGCCATCTCTATCTATGGCTTCTTAATTGCTGCTTTGAATTTTCTGATAGGGCTAACAGAATCTCTGGCTTCTTAATTGCTGCTTCAAAATTTTCAGCTGAGCTAACAGAATGTGGAATTAGGGGTTATGAAATGGAAAGAGTACAATTGTTGAACAATAAATGGAGATATTTCCATTCACTCGAACTTGTGTGTGTTAGACTGTAGTGAGTGTATTTGTGGACTACGGTCAAATATTCGCACGTACCTTTCTTTTTCTCCCAATAGATATGGGGTGAGCAAAAAAAATCGAGCCGTTTTATACCGTACCGAATGGCAAACTGTATGTGCGGTTTTTATTTTTGAAATATCGAATTATTCGGTTCGGTATGGTGGAAAGGGTAAATAACCGAGCCAAAAAACCGAAACGAGCTGAAACTATAAAATGACCTCATTTTATGTAATATATGTATTATTTTACCCTAACTTTTATTCTGTATCTTTCAATTACTTGTCTCATTCTAAGTATTTGTTCATAAATTGAGAAATTGTATTTTATTTTTTTAGTAACTAAAATTATTTTACATAAGTTCATGGTTTTAATAATGTGGTTGATGAAAGTAGGAAAAAAAATGAAGCATAATGCATCATCTAAATTACGTTAACTCCAATGAAATTAAAGATTTTATATTTTCATTGCATTAGTTAGTTGTGAAAGTAATTATATTTGTATTCTTTTGTTTGTATAACTTGAATACATAATTACTCTTGAACCAACAAATAACCAAAACCGAATCGATGAAAAACCAACATATATGGTTTTAAATTTTACAAAAACCGATATATTCGATTCACGTACGGTTTTAGCCAAAGATCGAACCGTGCACACCCCCCCTAATACGATACATGAAATAATTTTTGCGGTGTAATTTTTATTGGATATGTAGATATTGTATCATCTGTGTAGTAATTTTTGTATAGCATTTATCATGTTATATTTCTGTTCTTAATAAAACGTGTTTTGCTATCACGTTTTTATTAGTTTTTTCTTCCTTTTAGCACTTTTAGGTAGTTATTGTAACAGCTATTTAAAGCTGATTTTGTTACCGTTGTAAAATACTTTTTCCCACTTTTTCAATAACAATTCTTCTCCTTCTTCTTCCTTCTTCGATTCTCTCTTCTGATATGAACTCCTAATTAGGGTTCTAACATGGTATCAGTTTTCAATTGATTCGATCTTCTGATCGGTTTTTTTTCTCGTTTCCGCGCGATTATCATTTCGATTGTTCATCTATCGTATCGATTGCTGTTTCTGGTGTTTATAATTCATGGCGCCACCAGCTCGTTCTCCGTTGGATGATGTTTCGCATCCGATGTTTCTTCATCCGTCGGATGGTCCGAATTTGATTCTGGTCTCGCAGCTCTTAACTGAAGACAATTATGCTTCGTGGTCGCGAGCCATGACTATCTCATTAACGGTGAAGAACAAAATTGGGTTCATTGATGGCACGATTTCGGAGCCTCCTGCTGATGAGTTGATTATGCGTAATGCTTGGATTCGGAATAATAATATTGTCATGTCTTGGATTATCAATTCGGTTTCCAAGGACATTCAAGGTAGCATTATGTACTCGAATTCGTCAAAAGAAATTTGGGATGATCTAAAAACTAGGTTTTCACAGACAAATGGTCCTCGCATATTTCAATTGCGTCGTGATTTGGCGAATCTTACCCAAGGCAGTCAGTCAGTGAATGTATATTTCACTAAGGTCAAGGCAATTTGGGATGAGTTGGCGAATTATAGGCCGTGTTGTTCTTGTGGAAAATGTGATTGTGGTGGTTTTGAAAAGTTACAGGCTCATTATAATCAAGAGTATGTCATGAGTTTTCTTATGGGGTTGAATGACAGTCTAGCTTCCACTCGTGGTCAAATCTTGCTCATGGATCCGCTTCCTCCCATTTCTAAGGTGTTTGCATTCATTTCTCAAGAAGAGCGTCAGAGATCAGTTGTCTCTTCACATGTTGATTCTTCTGGATCTGTTTTTTCTGTCAAGAATGAGGGGTTTAAGCGGTCCATTAATAACCAGTTCTACAATCCTGGTTTAAAGAAGAGAGAACGCAGTTTCTGCACACATTGCAATATGCAGGGTCACACTGTGGAGAAGTGTTACAAACTTCATGGATACCCTCCATCTTATAAGCCACAGAAATCTCGTTTTTCTTCTCATGTTAATCAGGTTTCTGGTTTTGATTCTTCTTTGGATTCTCATTCTTCAGATGCAGGTGTAAGCTCTCAACAAGTGGATGGTTATCTTCAGTCAATGACTCCTTCTCAGTGTCAGCAGTTCATGTCTATGTTTTCTTCCCACATGGCTGCTCAACAGCAACAATCTACTGCTTCTATTCAGCCACAATCTGCTCATGGAGCTGATACAGCTACGGTTTCTTGTGTGACAGGTATTTGTGCTTTATCTGGTGTTCCTTCTTTGTCATCTGCTGATTGGATTTTAGATTCAGGTGCTTCTAAACATATTTGTCATGATAAACAGTTGTTCATTAATATCAGGCCTGTTAGTAATTTCAGGGTTCTTTTGCCTGATTCTTCTGTGTTAATTGTGTCTTTTGTGGGTGATGTTCGTTTGTCTAAGGAAATATTTCTTACTGGGGTTTTTTATGTTCCTCAGTTCAAGTTTAATCTTATTTCTGTGAGTGCTTTTCTTCAAAATAATCAGTTTTTTATTGGTTTCTCTGCCTTTACTTTTGTCATACAGGACAAGTTCTTCAAGATGATTGGCAGGGGTAGAAAAGTTGAGGAACTTAATGTTTTGGATTCACCTCCTTTTCTGCCACCTCCTTCCATATCTTCTTGTAATTCTGTGTTTGTTTGTAATCAAGTCTCTGCCACTGTTTCGCATAAGAGGCTAGGTCATGTTCCTTTCAAGAAATTGGTGTTTTTAAAAGCTTTTCTTCCTGTTTCTTCTGGTTTTGCTCCTCCTAAAGACAGCTGTTGTCATGTTTGTCCTGTTGCTAAACAAAAGAGACTTTCTTTTCCTTCTCATAATCATGTTGCTGATCATGTTTTTGATCTTATTCATTGTGACATTTGGGGCCCTTATAAAGTTCCTTCTTATAATGGTTTTAAATATTTCATTACTATAGTAGATGATTGTTCCAGGTATACATGGGTTCATTTGGTTCATTCTAAGTCTGATGCTTTAGTTGTGATTCAAAATATGTTAATTCAAAATATTACTCACTCTTTAAAACCGCCAAATCCACCCAAGCCGCGCAAACACGCCCACGCCTAACTTGGGTGTGAGAGAGATTAAATATATTTTTTTAGGGGTTAATATGATTGGGTCCCTCGTAGCAAACTTAATTAGACTAAATGACAACCTCAAAATATTTTTTTTTAAAACATCCCTATTTCAAAATATAATATGTTTCATATCCCTAATTTTTCTTTTATCCCTAACTTGTCCTTATACCCTAAATATAACATCTATTTACGTCTTTCCAACCCAGATTTGTTTCTTTTCTTCTATTCTCTCTCTTTCTCTCTTTCTCTCGTTCTCTCTCGCTTTGTTGCTCTTTCCCTATCTTTATCTCTCTCCATCTCTCTCTCTCTCTCTTTCTCTCTTTATCTTTATCATAATATTCAATATAATGTAGAAAAAAGGAAAAAGATAGATTTTTATAATACTAGAAATACTAGTATTGAAAAGAAAAAAAATATTAACGTAAAATAAAAATATTAGATGCAAAAATAAAAATGTAAAATGCAAAATAAAAAAATGATAAATACATTTAAATATTATATGGTGCGTATTTCACTTGTTGTGTGTAGAGGGCATTTTGGAATGAAATTTATAAAGCCAGTGAAGCAAAGGTTTAGTTAAGTTTGTCATTTAATTTTAATTAGTTTTATCACCGAAAATCTATATGTTAATTCCCCTTTTTTAATACATATAAGTAAAACAAATGCATTTTCTACATTAACAAATAAAAAATATTAACTAATTTATTCATTAACTATCAATTAATTATTACTATAATTGTTAACCAATTATATTCATTATTCATTAGTTACTTAAAAATTATTAATTAATTGCCAGCTATTACTATATAACTATTAATCAGTAATTAATTAGTTATTGATTAATTATTAACCAATTAATAATTAAAAATTAAAAATTATTATTATTCGTTAATCATTCAATAATAATTAAGTAATCACTAAGGGGAAATATGCAATGCCCCTCAAATAGAAAATATTTTGAACTAAATCCAATTAACTTTTAAAGACTTTTGTCGACACCAAAATTTCATTATTCTTAATTAGTGTGATTCCCTGGACTAGTGTGAAAGACAAAAATACCCTCAACTACTATAACCCTAATTATTTACCCATCTTTGTCACATTCATCTTCTCTTTTCTCCACCTAAACCCTTCTCTCAACTATCTTCGTAAATTCCGACCTTCCTCCACCGTCGCGCCACCGCCGCTCGTTGTCGCCGCCGCTTCCTCCTTCGTCTCCACATAAATATATTTTTCTCTTATTCGTTATCTCTCTCGATTTCTCTCTCTTTACACCACCATCATCTGCACATAGATATGTACACTACCACCACCGTCGCCGCTCGTTGTCGCCGCCGCCGCGTCCTTCGTCTCCACATAAGGCTCTTTCTCTCTTTTTCGTTATCTCTCTCGATTTCTCAGTTTTTTTTCCAGATATGTCCACCACCACCACCACCGTAGCCGCCTCTCTCACTCTCTCTTTCGTTCATCGTCGCCACCACCGTTGTCGTCGACTCTCTCTCCCTCTCTTTCGTTATATTTCTATCTCTATTTCTGTATTTTTCAATTTCTCTTCTTTTCCCTTCTTTTCCTCCAGATTTGAACTAGCAGTAGTAACATGACTAAGTTATATTCGAATATTTGTTTTTTCTCCAGATCTGAACTAGCAGCAGAATAACACGACTATAGTCATATTCGAATATGACTATATGTTTGAATATGACTGTAGTCATATTCGAATATGCTCTATGTTCTCGTTCAAGTTGACTTGTAACAACATTTAAATTGTGATTTTTTGTGTGGATGTTGATTGGATTGTTTTCGTAAACAATAGGCAATCTTTGTTGTTTTATATAATTTGGTAAACGTGACTGTACCACACTACATAATTGGAATTTTTAAGTTGAAAATGTTAAAAATTGCATTATAAATAAAGAATGTGACTACAATTGATATAGTCTTATACCGTCATATACAACTATAGTCATATTCGGCGTAGTAAATCTGTCGAGAAAAAAAAATTAAGTTTTTTTTAATAAAAAATTAAAAAAATGTTAAAAGATCAAAAAAAAAGTTAAATAAAGTCTGAAAATAATAAAAAATAAAAAATAAAAAATTCAATTTTTTTTTATTTGGTAGCAGATTTTTAGGAATTAGGTGGCGTGTTTTTAGGGAAAGAGAGAAAAAAAATTCACACCCATGTTGGAGGTGGTAACTATTATTCCACTCCCAATTTGGGCGTGAGGCAATGGTTCTCAAGCCCAATACAGGTGTGGATGATATATTCTTGCTTTCGGCGTAAAATTTGTTATTTCACACCTGTTTTAGGCGTGGATAGACAAAAATAAGGAATTTTCAAACTCTAGAGAGAAATAAAGCTTTTGATAATTAAAACCGTATTCGTAAAAATATAACCACATTTATCAAGTCCCATAAGATACTGATAAGTGCTTTACCACTTCCACTTTATAATTCATGGGATAGATCAAGAGAAGCTCTGAAAATCCACACATATTTGTAATTACTGTACACCCTTGAAGTTTGTTGCCGTCCAACACAATTCACCTGTTAAAACTTAACAGTATTTTTTTGATTCCACGAAATATTTCCCTACCAAATACTGATTTTACCCTGAGTGTAATTGCAATAACATTATTTCATGAGGGGTAATTGTAATATATTTTGGTGCAATAAAATATGTGAGGACATTTTTAGATGGAAACAAGCATCGGGGGTTTTATAGTTATTTATGTGAAAGGGTTTTCTAGTAATTTTACCTTACTTCAGGGGTTTTTGGTAATTTATTATTTCTTATTTTCATTTAACTTAGAAGCATTGTAGACCTTACACATTTTTATATTAAGAGACAAAAATACCCCCCTCACATTTTTATAGACTCAAATTTTATTATTTAATTTAATTTTACCTCAATTTGACGCCAAATTCATAAATTATTTAATTTTGACCCAAAACTCAATTTTGAGTACAATTTTGCCGTCGCCGCCGTTGACCTATTTTTGTTTAGAATTATTTTTTATTTTAACATCTTTTTTCCCCGTTTAAACATCAATATCGCTGTGGTTGACAATCATATTAATTATATTACTATTTAACACAATAATATTAAATATACTACAATTTAACATAGTAATATCTCTTTATTACTCTCTATCACAGTAATATTAACACAAAAAAAAAAATCACTATTATTGTGTAATAGGGTAATATTAATATGTTGAGCGTTCAATAAAGACAAACATAATAAAAAAAAAAAACAAAAGAAGTAGTATTGTTGTAGTAGACATTACTATTATTACGCTAATCAGTCAACAAATCAAACAAAACAAAAATGTGAAAAAAATTAATATTGATGTGGTTGACAATAATATTATTGTGTTTACAGTAATTTTACCGTCAACGACAGTAATATAATTACGTTGACTTATCAACAAATCAAACAAAATAAAAAATGCCAAAAAAAGAATAATATTGTTGTGGTTGACAGTAATTGTACTGTCTAATTACGAAAATGTACTGTCAACGACTGTAGAATTACTGTGAATGATAGTACAATTACGGTCAACGTTCAACAGCGGTTGTAAAAAAATGGATAAAAATTTTAGGGAAAAAAAAACTAAAAAAAAAAGTCAACGTCGGAGATCGGCTGCAAAAAAAGCAGACAGAAAAAAAAAATTCTCAACGCCGGAAACCGGCGGCAAAAAAATATTTCGGAAAAAAAAACGTTTAAAAAAAACAGTCAAAAATATTTTTTTTATAATCAAAATTGATTAAATTGGGGTTACATTATACTGACATTAAATTTGTCTTTATTTATAGGGTAAATTACAACCACCCCTGATATATGGTAAAATTATGAAAATTCCCTCTTGTTTGGATAATAACAATCTATAATTTTTTTTACACATCCACTCTTACGGTTTCAAATTTAGTGAAATCTTCTTGATTATATGAACACTTTTGTACCCGTTTTATCCCATTCAAGCTCCACATTTTAAAGCAAGATGATCATAAGATGTGTTTTTTGGCTTGTATATATCAGATTGTGGTGCATCAGAAACTGTATTTTTACATAAAACGAGTACAAACTAGAGCACATTCCACGGAATCTAGATGGTTATGTTGAATTTGACACTATAAGGGTGAAGATGTAAGAAGATTCATAGTTGAGGGGTAGATGTAATTATCCAAACAAGAGGGATTTTTTCATAATTTGATCATATCTCAGGGGATGGTTGTAATTTACCCTTATTTATAATACATATTAGAGGGATAGACTTATTGATGAAAGAGATATAACCTCTGAACCTAGAATAATAAAGATGATTGTTCAGAACTTGCACAAAAACACCTTATATTAAATTCTTGGAGATACTCCGGAGTTTTTGTAAGGTTCTAAGAGAAAATAGAAAATGGGGTCTTTATATTACATATCTAAGTGACTGTAAAAAGAAACATAGAAGACAATCCAACTCTGCAAACATAAAAGACACATAAAACAAAATCCAACACAGCCCATAAAAAGAAGTATGTGACACACAGAAAATAAATCATAGCAACAAAGCTTTCAGTAGCTATTTTTTTCCATCATCCTCCGCTTCTCGAATGGCTGGCTATTATGAGTTCCGATACTTTCCGATGATTGTTCTTTTTCTCCTTTGCTAGAGATCGATTGCTTCACCGTCTTGTATCTTTGCATGTTTTCGTACCCATATCATTTGTAGGTTCTGAATTTTGAGCGTCGGCTTTAGCAGGCTAATCGGCTTTGTTTTTACTTCCTCTAAGTTGGCTTCAACACCTTGTACAGTTTCCTCTATTTCCCCCCAAAAAATGCACCTGTCAGATTATAAATAAATAACTAAATTGCCGAAAAAGAAAACTAAAAATTGGGAAAACAATCAAAATTATAAACTAGTAGGATTAATACCACTCGTTATGACATTTTCTCCGCCCTTGACGATAAATAATCATATCAGACATATTCGAGTGTTCGAAGTTTACTCAAAAACGTGAAAAATCATGAAAACATATGTTGTGCAGAAGTGAACAATTAAGCCATATATGCATGAGACACAGTGGCGACTACTTGCACGGTTCTTACGTGAAAAATGTGCTGAATAGTTACTATATATGAACAATGAAACACCTAGAAATATACATTCCACCATCACAGTGTCTGCAAATAAAAGCTTGACAAACACGATAATTGACGTACCTGCTGTAGGATATTATAGTTTGATCGAGCGGTTTTATCGCTCGTCTCCAGGAGCAATTATGAGCTTAAAACCACCCCTTTTAGCCCTATGCTGCTGCCCATGCATACATTCTTTTTCCGCCTCGATTTTCCGTGCAGAGGCTGCTGCAGTTTTGCTGACACGTTCGATGTCCAATATCTGAAGGCTTTTATGCAGCAGAAGTGGAATTTCTTCAAGTCTCTCGCAGTTTTTCAAGACAAGACATTTCAGACCGGGAAAACAATCACTCGAGGCTGTCCAAAACTCGAGATCCGTACGCGCAATGAGAAGGAATTCAAGAGAAGCAAATTTGCCTTCGACACCAGCTTCCCAGAATTTCCCGACGAATGCAAAGTCTTTCAGTTTGAGCACCTTTAGTGCACCGAGCTTTCCCAATGTTGACATATGCTTCCAACTCAAATGAGTGGCCGACAATTCCAAGATTTTCAAATTTGGCGGGAACCTATCCGGTTGAGCGAGGCGGCTCAACGGGTTCTCGGAAGTTACGTCGGGAAATACATCGTACAATAGCTTCAACTTTTGAAGACGGTTCAGTTTTATCAAGCACCTGCTATCGGAAAGAGTGGCCAAATCCCCGCGAATCCCCAAGTTTATTAGGTTCGGAGTTTTGTTGAACAATTCTTCGGTGCAACATTGGGTCGATAATCTACTGAGCGATTGAAGGTTCTCTGCAGCTTCACCTTTCAATTCGCTGCTAAGAGTAATGGCTGCTTTCGTCTTGAAATGCCTCAACTGCCTCATCTTCCATATATTTGCTTTGATTTCAAATGTGCGCGATATTGTGTCGATTCTGATAGTCTGCAGATTCCATAGTTTGGATACGGCATCGGGAAGAGACTTGAATTCGTCGCCGGACAAAGCAATGTACCTCAAATGAATTAGCTGCGTGAGCTTAATGGGGAATTTCAAGAATTTTATAGGGTTCGCATCTAAAACCCTGAGCAAGTCGAACGCCTCGGGTATCGATGGGATGCATTCTAAGGGCAACGTGATGGTTTCCTTTGAAAAACATAAAAAGGAACGAACTCTTGGGCCCTTTGGCCTTCCACGGAGGAAGTCTTGGACGTACGAATGGATACAAATTCGGCGGTGCTTTTGTATTTGGGAAACACGAGGGTCGAAAACATTGTTGGATTTCTTCACTTCTTGAAACAAATTCTGCTTTTTAATTCCAGCCTCGGCTTTGCAGAACTCGCGGATCATGTCGTGCATACGGCACACTTTAATGCCACCTTCGGCCTTTGTTTTATCAACCATGACTAAGTTCAAGTTTATAAGATCTTTCAAATTGTCCTCCGCCACTTCCTCCAAGCTCTTCGGTGGCTTATGTTTAATGAATCCTTCTGCAATCCACAAGCGGATCAACTTCCAGGCATGGATCTCGGTATCTTCCGGAAATACTCCCAAATAAAGGAAGCAGTCTCTCAAGTCGTGAGACATTTGTTTGTAACTCAACGCGATAATATTTTCCGTGCGCTTCTCCTTGTCATCCGCGAGATACGAATTCACGCTAGCCGATATCTTTTCCCATTCACTTTTCATCGCGCTACCTCCTTGCGGTGAGAAGCTTTCCACAAGCATCCCTCCTATCACTACTATTGCCAGAGGCACCCCACCACATTGCCTGGCTATGTCTTTCCCAAGAGTTTTAAAGTCTTGAGGGCAATCATCGAGATTACGAAATACCTCTAGCTGAAGAAGCTCCCAACTCTCGGTCGAATCCAAGAAACGAAGCTGGTGGGGCTCCCGTTTCCGATTCGCGTGGACGGCCACTCTTTCGTGCCGACTTGTGATTAGAACTTTCCCCAATTTGTTACCCTTGGGCAAGGCCGCTTCGATATTTTTCCAATCTTCGGTAGTCCACACATCATCCATGAACAAAATGAATTTCGATTTCTCCAGATAGGATCGAACCAAACACGCCAGCTCGTTATCGGTCTTGCTGGACATGTCTACTTGGGTGAACTTTTTCAGAATAGTGAGAAAGACATCCCTCCTGTTGAATTCTTGAGAAACGTAAACCCAAATCATGGTCGGGAATTCGAATTGAACTCTTGAATCTTTGTATATTTTCCATGCTAGGGTTGTCTTTCCGAGGCCAGGCATGCCGATAATGGAGATAACTTCAAGTTCCTCCGATTCTTCATTGAGATAGCTGATTAGTGTGTCGGCCTCGCCTTCAAAACCTACTATGTTGTCTTCTCTCAGGAGGGGAATCTATGCGAAAATGAAGAATCGTATAATGTCAGAAACTGAAACCGATGGAGTGAAGACAAATAGCTAACATTGTAATCCTAAACAAACTTTCATCGAGCGACACAACTCAATGCTCAAATGGATCAATGCCGATTTATAGAAAGAAAATGAACACAAGGCTAAAAGCACATTTTAATTCTTGCCAAAACTACAAATTCTATGTTTTGTATATGTATGTGCATACTTTATGCATGAAGTTTGGATCTAGCATGACAAACTATAACAACTAACTTTGAATTTTAGTAAAGTTCATTAAAAGTTTCATCGAAAAAGTAGTTTGAACATGATATTAAATATCTTGATATCGTAACTTTGAAATTGATCAGTAACTAAAACAAAATTGACACAAACTAAAACAAAATTGACACAGTTACGATATCTCCATCCACTAAGGCCTCGTTTGCTTACCTATATCGTCAGTAAGATATTTGATTCGTTCGATTAAATCTTGCACTAAATTTGTTAAACTCTGATATTAAATGTGAATTGTCTAAAAAGTCTTTTAATTAACAAAATTAAAATATTGTTTTAAGCACAAAATTGTTTTTTTTTTCTTTTTTAATCACCCCTAAACAATTAATGGTCGGGGAAGAGTTGCTACTAATTTAACCAAATAATAATTGCAGGCTTTAAATATAGTAGCGGATTAAACTAAGCACGAATCTTATCAACCAAACATATTACAAACTCCTACTATTTAGTTAATAGAGTTTAAAAATACATATCCCTAAACACTTCTCCATAAGAAGAAAAAAAAAATTGTAGAAAAGTACCTTTTTCGCTTTACCCTTGGTGTCTTCGTCGCCGGTGGCGGATGGATCGGCGATTTGCAAGTTGGCGAAGTTGATCTTGGCCCGCTCGAAGATGGGTTTGACCTCAGTCTCCCTGAGTGTCTTGACCTTTTTGGCGAGGCTGGCACCCTTAGGGTTGAGATTTCTGGACAGGAAATTCCTCTTCATACCGGCGGCGGCCTCCACAAGGCAGGTGTCGAGTGTGTCCTCCGCTTCGTGAACCACGTCCCTAATCTGAGTCTCGAACTGCCGGAAAAGTTCCCCCTTTTCGCGCCGATTGGCCGATTGGACGAGGAATGCTTTCATCAAATCGAGCTCGTTCTGCAGCTGCTTCAGCTCTCCTTCGGCGCCGGAGATGAGGTGGACGTGGTCGGAGAGGAGCTTCTGCAAGTTTTCCAGCAGGAATGTAATCGCCGCCTCCGCCATTTTTTTCAGATCTCGGATGAACTTGCGAAGACTCAGAGTCAACTCGTGATTGGGGGAACGAACAAATAAATATCCCAATTCTGTAGGCGGGAGAGAATATTGTGGAATGGGTCGAATTTTGAAGTGTGAACTGTCAACTGAGTAATGACACTTCGCCACCGTCAAACTTGACTGTTTCGCGAAGTCGAGCTCAATTGATATTTTTCATCAAGTGGAATGGAATTTTTTTTCTACGTTTTGGACTTGTTTTACCATATTTATTAATTTTAAATTTTAAACTTTTGTACCCATTTATTATACCACAATTTAAACTACGTAGTGCGGACACGGTGAAATGAGGAAACGGATACGGGAAACGCAATTTTTCAAAAAAATTAATACGAGAATGTTTGGAAACGTGTAAATATTAACAATATAGAGGTACATTCATAACTTCTAAGAAAATATCAATGACATATTTGTATCCACAAGTCATATATAATTAACAAGTTTCAATCCAAATTATCATTTCACAAATTATATTTGAGCAAAAAAAAATATTAAAACACCACTAGAAGTGTAAAATCTAGGATTTTTTTAAGTGTACTCATTACTTTTAGTGTTGTTGATATCCAAATTGTAATATTTTTTCTAATTTTTAAACTTAAATTAGGGAAAATAATCTAAACTTGAAATGTTTTCATAAAATTATTTGAAAATTGAAAAATAGAAGTCTTTAGTTGTTTGAAAGAGCTGTTTGGTAGATTTTGTCGTATTAAAATACAAACTTTGGTCAAAAATTTTGACCTAAGAAAAAAAAAAACTTGCATCTGCAATAGTTGGGGGCAATTTTATTTTTTTTTGGCAGTTTTGAAATCGTGTAAATGAAATAGGGTTGGTGTAAGAAGTGTAAACAAATTTGCGTCTGTCGCCACGTGGTGTAGCGACTTCATGACGTGTCGTCGCGTGGCGTGGTGACTTCAGGACGCGTCGAATTAATTACTATTTTTTTCCCGATAAGGCGTGACACCATTACTGATGTCAGCACGGAGCAGTATGTTCAGCAGCACACCAAAGGTTTATTGTTACTGCTGGGCAGGTTATGTGTCCTGACACAACTTCAAATTCTTTCCCGATAATATAATATATCTTCACCATTTTGAACATCTTGGTGTCGTGCGCACTTTTAGTTGGGGTAGTGGAGTTCTAGGGTACTTATATCGTGAGCTATGCACTGGGGCTTTAGTGAAGAAAGTTGTGGACAAAGATGGCAATACTGGAGAAAAGAAAAGTGAACATAGGTGGTGCACTTACTTTGCTACATGTAATAGGTTTTTTACACTTTTAAAATTTAAATTAATAGTTGATTACACTTGGATGTTTAATAGTTTTTATGTTTAATAATTAGTGTTGGGCATGGTCGAGGATACCTTTACTCGCTCCAGCAATGCAACCAGCGGTAGTCGATGATGATTTTCATCATCCTCTTTATGGTGCACGGTAAACTTCTTATGTATTAATAATTTATTTATATGCAACTTAATATATGGATGCCTTATAGTGAACTCGATCATGAGTTTGGCGCTTTGCTTGTGCATCCTGTGATAGTGCATACACAGCTTTGGATGTCGAGTTGTCCTATTATATTTTACGAGAGAGTTGAGATGCATCGTTCTGATAGAGTATTGCGCTAGTTTGGGAGGATACAACATATTTCTCCACATCCTACTGATCACGATATTGAGATTAGGTTGCATTTTTATGATTGTCGAGGTGTTGGGAGGAGAGATTTGGCCCGTTTTCACAGGATTTATGTTGATAGATGGCCTTCTCTACTCGATTCTTTCGTTGACTATACATCTATTGAGATTAGTGGACCTCAGATGGACCCATGATACTGTTAGGATAGTAGACTAAAAGTCTCGCTTTTAGCTACATAATTTTATTATTGAATTAATAGAATAGTTTATTATCATTTTATGAGAATCTGTACTAGGGTATTCAATGCATTTAATTGATTGTTTGTCAATTAATTAAAAGCATAAGTCAAATATTCTAATAGTATTCGAGATGGTGTGCTACGGCGCACAGAAAGATCATTTCGAAAGTTCGTTTAGAATATAAAGATAAACGTTCACAATCTAGATGGAAGTGGACTAACCATTGGTAAAAGTTTGTAGCACAATATTTAAGTGATTGGTCTTGATCACAGTAAACAGAGAATAACTTTTGTAGTTGTTGTTTTGACTTATTGTGCTAGCACACCCGACATGTGTTGAACCGGACAAAGTGAAATAATTGTTTCATCGCTGTTCATAAATGAAACTGTATTATTTCTAGTTGACAGTAAATTACTTACTCTCTTAATCCCTAGATAATTAACGTACATATTTAATTGATGATCTCTACTTTGATGTCACAATGGGAGAGATTCCTATATTGAGTCAAATGGCCCCCAGTGCGTTGGGTAGAGACATTAAGAATTAATAGGTGGAAATTAGTTATCGAAAGGAATCCACATCTCTGAAATATGGGATTGATAATAACCCTTGAGTAGCTTATAAGATTTGTTTATGCCAAGTCCTGGCCAGGTGGATTTCGTATCCGGCATATTCAAATAAGTGAAGCGGATAAGACTCATGAAAAGAAATCATTTGATTTATTTAGTAGTGAATAAATTATTTGGTGGTTATAAGATATCTTAATGTGGGGAGAATCTAAGTAATGATCGACCGGAGCTCGAATGTAATATTTGAGAATATAAACGGGAGTTCAATAATTATTTGGTAGTGGAAAATAAATAATTATTTAATGATTAATTTAATGGATTCGTTTAAGAGTTTGAATTTAATTAATTATTAGTTGCCCGATTTATATTTTCTCCTATAGTCCCTATTGTAGCCCAATGGATTTTCTAGTTAATCAAGAAAATAAAAGTTCAACCAATATTATATGGGGGCAACTATTTTGAATACTAATTTTTGCTTAGTTGAATACTACCTAGTTGAAAACCACAATTGAGTACATATTTATAAGTTTTTTCTTACTTTAAAACCAAAATAAAAAGAAAATTACAAAAACACCCTTTCATACAAAATATCAATTATATCAAATATTTATTAGAAATTACCTATTCAAAAACCAAATAAAAAAAAAAGAAAAAAAACCCTTTGTTGTTAAAAAAAAAAAACCTCCACCATTTCTTCTCCTCTCCAACCCTGACCGCCGCCGCCGCCGCCGCCGCCGCCGACGCCGCCGCCGCCGCCGCCGACGCCGCCGCCGACGCCGCCGCCGCCGCCGCCGAACGCCACCGTACGTGCTCGTAACTGCCGCGACAACCCAATTAACCCTATCTTTTTCATCTTCTTAAATCCTCCAAAACATCTCCAAATTCAAAAAATCAAAACCTCACAAAACTTATAAAATGGAGTTATAAGACAATAATATGGTAGTATATGTGGAAAGAGA